CGCTTAAAGGTTCAGCTGCTCTCTCAAAAAGAGAACGCCTGGTGGTGATGCTGTGTCCGCCCTGTATGCGAGGTTGGACCAAAAGCGAATTTTACAGGTTAGTGATGAAGCTCAGTGATCCAGTCATTTTTACCTGCATTTTCACATTAAGAGGCATTTTGAGCATGGGCCAACGACGTTCCATGAGTCGCTTGGGACCCCACGAGGGTCTAATGTTGGCCATGTCCAGCGGCAGTTGACCCATCTGGGTGCACCCATGTCCACCGATAAGTGGCTTTTTACATGTAGCCCGATGATAATCGGATATTTTTTTAATGAGACTGTTGTTCGGATATATATTGTTATGCATATGTGATATATATATATATATATATATATATATATATATGTATATATATATATATATATATATATATATATATATATATATATATATATATATATATATATATATATATATATATATATATTGGATATTCAGATATTTCTGGTTGTTTCAAATGTGATAACCTATGTGCAAAGGGAATTGTAGGTGCAAACCCATGTATTATGAAAATTTAACATTGGTACTTGCGTACTTGTGTATTAGGGTATGAACAACGGAACTTAAAAGCCGTGAGCCAGGAGAAAAACAGCATCGATTTACAGAATTGTGCACTTTTGATTCGGATAGTACTTTAACTGGGACGGTAAATGATGCATCTCCCCACCAACTGAGTTTCACGCTTGCATTATATCAAAATGTCACCCATGACAAGATTCCCACGTCCAAAGTCATAATTGTTGACACATCGCACAGTTTAGGAAAATGCTAATGACCTGGATCAATTCGTGGATATGATTCACTATCAACACTGGAAGTGAGCTTGGGAAATCGCCGTTAATGAAGCGTTAGTGATTTGTGTGGGATGTTGGACTTTAATCCACAGCAATCAATGGCGTAGCCATGGTGGATTTTGGGGCCATTTCTCTGGAGATGGCCGGCGGCCTCAGCATTTTTCACGGTTTCAACACACGCTCGGGTGGGGGTCAAGAAGACCCCCTCGAACGCTTTTCCGGAATGGTTTCCTAACGGCGTGGCGTAGCCGCGCCAAATTTTGCACAACTGTAGGCAATTGAATAGTGGACCGTTTGGTGTCAACAATTTGGATGCACCATATAAGGTCGCTGACTTACGGCTGGTCAGTCAGGCCATGGATTCATCGAAGTCAATTTCTAGGGCTCAATCTGATGCAACAGCGGAGTGTTAGACGAAGCCGTACATCTCTGTGATACTTTCTTAGGCAACACAACAATTGGATGACCAAATGGCATTGACCTGGGGTCAGGTATGAAGGTCAGACCAGGGCCAAAAGCAACATGTTTTATTACTCCAGAAATCGTTGTATGCGGTAGTTTGTGGTGCTAATTTCGAATTTATTGATAACGGAAGCTGTATTATATATCCTCCTTTAACATCTTAAAGGTCAGAATAGTTCACTGACTTGAAATTACCAAGGTCGACATGTCGTTTTTAGTGACATACTGCCTTGCGTAATCTGTGTCGCTTATTCAGTTGGAAAACTCAAAGCAGCCCTGCGTGATTTTGGTCACCATGACCTTCGAAAAGGTCAAACAAGGTCACTGACCCTAAATGAGCATGTGTCCTTCTGCTTAGATCAGGTATCTAGGTTCTGATGACCTTTGGGAGACCAACCTAGAGTTTGGCCTGGTTTGACCTTACTTGACACGAAGGTCCTGAACTAGGAACTTCAAACTTTGACGTGAGTTCACGTATAGGCCGACACACCCTGGGAATTTGGTGTCTCTAGCTCTCTAAGTTCCTGAGGTTTCAGGGATCAAATTGACCCCCCCCCCCCCCGCCCCCCATCCGAGCAAAGGGTATTCAACCGGCCACCGGGGCACGTGTTAAGACGTCCTTAGGCCTTTTAAAACGTGAGCAATTCAGGCTCAGAGACGACATATGCAAAAGCATATTTGATTCCTACTTTTCGCAAAAGGCCGCAACTGGTCACAACTGTCTGCAACCGATTGCAACTGGTCGTAACTGGCTGCAGCTGATCGCAAGTGGTCAAAACCTGCCGCCAAGGACACAGCTGGTTGCAGCTCACCACAACTGGCCACCATTGACCGTAACTGGCCACGATTGGCCACAACTGACCACACCAGGTCATAACTGGCCGCAACTGGCCACAGCTGGCCACAGCTGGCCACAGCTGGCCGTAACTGGCCACGGCTGGTCATAACTCGCCGCAACTGGCCATGGAGACCAAAGAACGTGCGCGTGGAATGCGCAGAACTTCACTGCTTTTCATTAAGATAACGATGGCGTGGGAATTCAAGATGGTCAAAATTCATAAATAGTGCTACTACTGTATAATGTACTATTTGCTACGCTTCGTCCAAATGGGTGATGCTTTGTCTGTTGTGGTTTGCCGCCGTGGGGCCAAACTCTTCGCCTTGCCTTTCCGCGCCCAGCCACGCCGCAAAAAACAAACACCGGTAGGCCCTCCATTATCATCATTGCTCTTCACACCATTGGAATATGATATTAAAACGAATTCTGCTGTCCAAAGGTAAAAAGGCCTGGGCACCATTTTCGGAAATGGAGTTAAGAGATTTATTTCATTCTATACAGCTCGAAAAACTGCATCTCGTGATGTTTAGTCAACAATTGAAAAAAGCGTTTAAAAGGTGTCTCGACTTCTTTAAGCGCTCAATTTTTTTTTAGCAACACGGTTGTAGCGCTCAGGTAGTTAACATTGAAACATTCAAAGCATTTATCACATTTCAATCGTCAAATCGTGCACCCCATCTGCGGTTACGCGTTGCCTATAGCTAGGCGTTGCTGACCCTCCAGATACAAGCCCGCCCGCTCCTGCGCTCGTTTGGAGCATAGGTCGCTCGGACGAATGTTCAGACATCGGCTGTTTCGCCTCGTCACTTACGCGATGTGCTCGCTTGCGGATGGACTGCGGCTAAATGATCGGACTCGGAGATCAGACATTGGCTGTTTCGCCTCGTCACTCACGCGATATGCTCGCTTGCGGATGGACTGCGGCTGAATGATCGGACTCGGAGATCAGACATTGGCTGTTTCGCCTCGTCACTTACGCGATGTGCTCGCTTTCGGATGGACTGCGGCTGAATGATCGTACTCGGAGATCAGACATTGGCTGTTTCGCCTCGTCACTCACGCGATGTGCTCGCTTTCGGATGTACTGCGGCTGAATGATCGGACTCGGAGATCAGGCATTGGCTGTTTCGCATCGTCGCTTACGAGATGTGCTCACCTTCGGACGGACTGCGGCTGAATGATCGGACTCGAAGACAGATCGCATGGTGAGACAACGAGCAAACAAGGCTTTCTGGCGTCGGCAGAACTTTGGTATACTGTGCGGAGGGGCCCATGAACTGGCAAGTTGTACGTATGGGCACATGCACTAAGTCGTCACGTCATGAGCGTTTCTTCTGGCACTGGTAGAACACGGGCAAGTCGTGTGGGTGAGCACATTAACTGAGAAATCGTGTCATCAGCGTCTCTTCCGGCACTGGTAACACTGGTAAACTATGCGGATGAGCATACGAATTGAAGCATCGTTATGGGCGACTCCTCTGGCTTCGGTATAACTGGTGAACTGTGCGGATAGGCACATGAATTGAATCATCGTGTCATGGAAGCTGTTCTGACCTCGTTAGAACTGTGGTGGGCTGTGTGGAAGGACACATGAGCTGAGGCATCGCGTCATGAGCGTTTCGTCTGGTGTCTGCAGAACCCTGGCAAGGCTTTGGGTTTCTGAGCGTCTGAAGCATGATGACAGCGACCTCTGCGACCGTTGTGTGTTTCCCAGAGAGTGAGGGAGCCTCGAGCGTGATACGCAGCCGACTCAGTCTGATACGGCACCGATAGGGGCCCGGTGTGGCGGCCGGGCGTGGTCCTTCGCGCTGCCCTGAAACGGCCGGCAAGCCCGAACAGCAGCGACTCGAGTCGGCAGCTGCCGACGCAGTCATGGACATATGGCCGTGGGAAGGCGATCGGCAGTTAGTCACACTTTAACGTGCATTAAAAGTTTGGTTAACCATCACGAATTCGATGGAAACGTCAGTGTGTTACAAAAACGGTATGGCGTGCTGACGAGTTAGTTAAAGGTTCGTGTTTGTGTAGCTCCGATACATTGCGAATCGGGGTAGGGAGCAGCCCACCAAGTCTCCGCTCTGCCAGTCCTCTAGTTTTCGACCACCATCCTGGGCTTGCTATACGAAACAAATAGAGCCGGTAAGGAATGCAGTTTGGTAGATGATTTGGCCGTCAGCGCTCACTCTCCTTCCGCCTCAACTAAATTTTTCAAAATGACGCTGGTGGATGTTCAATCCGACCTTGGCGAACAAAACCAACGCCAATGTAGCATTCAACTGGACTTTTTTAGCCCGGCGCAGCCCTCCGTTGCGTCGTACAAGCACGCGGCGAGCCGTTCAGAACTCGGCGCCTCGCGGTCGAGCTGGCCTACAAAGAACACCGCCGCCCTGGAGGACCTCCGGCTAGCGCGTGACCGGCCGGGAAGTGACGTCACCACCGCGCTGGAACTCAGCTGACGCCGGCGCTGCCGCCGAGAGGAAACAGGAAGCCGTGACTCAGTTGGCGACGACGCGCGCTGGCGGAGGACGCGCGGTCGGCACCCGGCTCCGATCGTAGACCGGCTCCAGCTGGTACCGCGCCCCGCCGCCCTTCACCAGCCACTCGGCGGGGACGCGCGCAGACTCGCCGGCGTCTTGCGGCTCCTCGCTGCTCGCTGCTCGCTGCGTCTGTGGGAGGTCGTGCCTTGCCGCGGGACCGTGCCGGCAGTGGTGCCCGAGCCCTTCGAGACGCCCCTGCTCGCCGACTCGACGAGTCCGGCTGGGCCGCCCGTTCAGCGCTCGTCGCCGCGTGCGCGATAGTGGCCGCGTCACCTGAGCGGAGCCGGGGCGCACAGTCGACCGCCCGAGCGCGCCTCCGCCGCCGCCGCCGCCGCCGCCGCCGCCGCCATGGATTGGATGACGGGCGTGCTGGACCGCTTCTACTCGGTACCGGACATGGCGCAGCCCCAGGTGACCATCAAGGAGGAGGTGCTGGACAGGTGAGCGGTGGAGCGCGGCGCGGCGGCAGCCGGCTCCGGTCGGACCGCCCGACCAAGTGTCGCTGCTGGGGTCTGCCGTCTGAGATGGGGTCGTCGGGTGCCGTTGTGGGAGGCGTGGGTGCGCTGGCTGTTTTCGGAATATTGTATACGGCGAAGGGTTCTGGCGCTTCACTTTAGGGGTCGACTCCGAGTCGCCCCGCTCTGCCGCCGCCGATTCGACTCGACTGCGACCCTCGCCGGCTCGCGGGCTGTTCGTCAGCGCGTCTGAGCCATCGTGGCGCTGTTGGCGGCTTGTCTCTCGGCTGACCGTCGACCCGTGGGTCGGGGACTTGAGGCGGTGCGTCGCACCGCCCCCTTCGCCTGAGCGGCTGGAGTGGGATTGTGTTTACGCCGCTGTGCGCTGTCGCCGGTGATGTTTGGAGTGGCCGGCGCCAGGCCCCCGTCTGCCGGGCGCTGATTGGCTGCGGGCGTCGGGCCACCGTCGCCCCAGGCGGGGCGACCTGACCTCAGCGCCCGGCGGCGGTCCGACCAGCGGCCGTAGCCGGCAGCGGCAGACTGCTGCCGGCCGAACACAGCTGTCAGCCGCAGGACACTCGGAGACCAGCGGAGGGTGGGAGGCAGGCGATGGGAGGTTCAGGCCGGCCTTGCGGCGAGCGGCGATGTCGTCTGCCCGCGCGGTATTCACCGAAGAGCAAGGGAATCTCATGGTTGGGGTATGCATGGCAAGAGACGATGCGACTGTCCCAATCCACCCAGCAGATCTGTCTCGATCCACCCAGCAGCCACGGCTGCTCCGTCTGCTGGCGAGTGGACCAGCGTTGCGACGGGCCCGCTTTGCCGGCGTCAGAGTGGATGGCGCGTCTGCTCGGTCTGTTGACACTCTCTCTGCCTTCTTGGCGCACCCCGGCGTGGTATGACGCAGTGAGTGCTGTGTTACGTCGACTTGGTGTCTACTGTCGGGCGTATCTGGACTCGATTAGTGTAATCATCGTTTGGTGCGCAAATGGCATCGCTCGGCCTCTTCTGTTTGCTGCTCGGAATCTTCTGTTTTGCCGCTGTTTTGCCGCTCGGCCTCTTCTGTTTTGCCGCTCGGAATCCTCTGTTTTGCGTCGAACGGAGCCGCGTGGATTCGCACGCCCCAGCCACACGTGCTTGTCATGCACGCGTTCACGCGTGCGTGTGCGCCGAGCGTCCTCTGGGGGCAATGTGGCGTTTCGAAAGGGATTCGTGACCCATCCCGTACCAGTTCACCATCGGTTTCCAGCGGTGAGCTCGGCCTGTGGGAAAGATCGCCGCCAGTTCGCGACTCGGGGCAGGCCTCATTGTCTTCTGGACGGAGGAGCACTCCAGGGTCAGAGGGGGTTTTGCTGACCGCTGTCGTTTAAACAACGCGTCCGCGAGCGCTGAGCAGCCGGGCATTTGGAGCTGCGTGACTTGGCGCCTCCCACTGCGGCACGGCACGTGCGACAGACAGCGTAGATGCCTTCTGATATATCGGTGGATCTGCTGATATATCATGCGCTCAGACGCCAGCTCCGTCTTTACTCGGCGCGTCATGGAGAGCACCTAGCATATGCCACAAGATAGACTGCTAATGCTCTTTTGTATGTCTTGCATACTCCATATTCGGGGAAGCTGTCACCTTCCGTTTTGGCGGCCGATCGGGATTACATTTTGGATGTCGCGTGGCTGTCAGAGCTGTGCACATTGGATATATGGAACGTCAAGTAACCGTGCACGACCTTCTTTAACGCCGGGTTCACGCGTTCCCCTGGTCGATGCAATAGCCACCGAGCCGTGCTGGGCTCCCGGCGGCCGCACGGTCTGGCAGACGTACACAGCGTAAGCGGGTTTGGCGAGCCCGGTGCACTGACCGGTATGTTAGGTGGCCGTGTGTGTGATCAATGTGGAGTGTTTATTTCGTCGCCAGTCGGCCCGATCTGTTTAATAAGCGTCGCCATCGCGCTGTTTGGGGATGGGATGTTTTTGTGGGGCGCAGTGGTTCTGGTTCAGGTGGCTAGACTATTGACCCGTATCGCTGACCCTGACCATTGGCCCTGACCGGGATCGCGGACCCTGACCATTGGCCCTGACCAGGATCGCGGGCCCTTATCTACGGACCCTGGCCGCTCCCTGACCTTCACTACCCGTTTCTCGTGCTCGTACTGGATAAGCTTTTGAGCACCTCCGGAGCGCGCCGAAAATCAGCTATCATATGTTCTGCCTCCTGGAAGAAGTTCAGACTTTGATGTCGTCACCTTCATCCGACTTACGTTAGGATGATATCTCAAAGGTATGTTGCTTTTAGATAGATAGCAACCAAGAAACTAACTAAGTCTTAAATAAAAATCACAGCCGCTTAAAAGAAGGGTGATGTCGCTCAGATCTTCTATCGCTTTGACCTGTCGTGACCACTGATTGTGAATTCTTTCCGGTATCTGTGCTAATTGTGGCAGAAACCATCTACAAATATATATATATATATATATATATATATATATATATATGCATATGTATATTTATATTTTTCATATATATATATATATACATATATGCAAACTTATAGTTTGCTTATCCAGATAGAGTTCAAGCCTGATCCCGAATGAACTGCAAATTGGTCCTGAGACATGTATGGTTCCCAAACCCAATGGGCATGCGTTGGAGCTGGTTCGAAATGCACGCCGGGTGCGTCTGGCCCCTCCTCTGATGTCTCGGAAAAGGTGGTAACAATTTTGACTGGTGTGGTCTGGAAATGAAAACTTTTGATGTAAACCAGCTTCTTTCATCCATTAGTTTTGAATTCGTCAGAAGTCCCCGGGAGGGTACACGTTGCTTTAATATGTGCTTTTTGCCTTACCGAAATCAATGTGCTTCCGCCTTTTTCCATCCACAACCCAACTTTTATTTCATACTATCCTATGACCCATTTTGAGTGCATGAGTCTCTTCGCTTTAAGTGCCTTCTATTATAAACGGTCAGTCTAATTATCCGTCGGATATTCCACACCTAAAATGCTTACAAATGTTCAACGACGATCTAAGCACACACACCAGGCGATCCTCCCCATTTTAAAACGTAACGATAATTGTGCATTTGACCTGTCGTATACAATTGCGATGGTAGCTGGACGTCCGATGCCCTGGATTGTGCTATCGTACTCCAGCTGCATTGGCTGGGAAGTCTGCCTGCTCAGCCGTGCAGGGTCTGCCGACGCGCCTTCATATCATGCCGACCCACTGAGCCGATTCAATGTGTCCGAGGCTGCTGTCTGATCAGCTCTGGATTCGATCAGTCCCAATAAGGCCTGTTATACAGATAACACGAGCTCCAGAATTACCTTGGAGTGTGCGAACGAGCTGGTGCTACCACTCACAAAGATTGTTTGACGCCTTGGTGTGTGCGAGTATCTTCCCGGAGAGGTGGAGGCACACATACATCATTATCACCGAAAAAGGATATGGACGCTGATCCTTCAAAGTTGAGATCCGTTTCCCTGCCTCCTTTGATTGACAAGTTATAGGGAGTGGCGTGCGCAAGGTGCCGTTTCTCCCTGTCGTACCTGTTATTCTACGCGTGAATCGATACGGTTTCTCTAAAAACGTTCGTGCACTACGACTTAGTTTCTTTTTTTCGCTCGTGGAAGGCCATATCAGACGGATGCCAGACGGATGTCGCATATACCGACTACTCGGCCGCTTTTCAGAGCGCTAATCGCAGACTGAATGGGTCACGAACTGAAGCATTCTTATCATCCCCGGGAAGCGCCTCTCGGAGGCGCCCGCCCGTCCCTCCAGGGTGGGAGGCAGGCGACGCCATACAGCCTTAGCAGCCCAGTGCGTCCTGAAGCCCCAGTGACGACGACGATGCGCGCATCAGTGCAGCTGTCTTTTGTGAACGTAACAGAACGCAAGCATTTCTGCGTAATTCAAGACGTAGGTGAAACAGTTGATGGAAGCTCACTTTTGCCGCTCATGTTTCGAACAAAGTTAGCCGAGCTGGCAGAGCACTGGGCCTACTTGTTCGGTCGTTTCAGGCTACCGTAGGCAGGCCAAAATTATCTGAAAAGCACCACTGGTGGATACGAGAGGCCTCGACAGAACTTGTGTAATTCATCCCGCTCCTCGACGATTGTGGAAGTTAGAAGCAAGTGACTTGGTTTCCGTTGGGCATCTCAGCTCGCAGTACGCCAGGATCATGTTAGTGCTGGAGTTTAGCAGCATGATCTGGTTGGACGTGGCCAAAGCCTGGACAGCGCGGGTCGATCAGTGCAGCACAAGTTCCTCATTCGGCTGGTAACTTACACATCTTTTGGACTTGCCGCTTCACTGTCGTACAATGACGCGCGCCATTTGGAAATTTAATCAGTAGTTTCCCGGATAGTTCAGCATGATCTTGTATTTTTAAAAAATATGGTTTGGTGAAAGTTGGACTCAGAAGTTGCGCTCCGACATTTGTCTTGTCATGCGCCGCCTCGACTGGTCTCCTCACACAGGGTGTTCAGCGTGCTAGGGGCACGTGTGAATGCTGTGAACGGCGGTCTTCTCCGCAAGCTGCCGAGGGATTAATCCTTTTTATTCCTCGATAGGAGCGAGGTGGACTCATTCGACTGCAACTTTACCATGTATAAATGTAGCGTGTTGAAGTACATCTCATCCCTGTAGTATGTTTATTCGTCTGTCAGTCACGTTTAAGTGATTTGTGGTGGCTGGAGCGCGCTGTTTTAAGGAGAGCCTGCCAGCCATTGGAGTGTTATTCTGCTGGCGGTGAGCTGAATAAGCAAACAGCCAGGACCTGCTACAGCGCAAAAGAAGGGAAATTGACGAGGACGTTGAGAATGCAGCGTGAACTGGTTCGTGATTTTTCGTGCTATCAGCGTTGACGCCATGGATAAAAAAGAGCGAATTAGAATGTAAAAATGCGGTGGTATGCCTCGTACGTCATTGAATGTGACGACGTGAGGCGTGACGGCTTTCTTTATATGGGGTTGGACGTGATACGCTTCTCCCGAGGGGCAACAATAAAGATGCATACGGTTTTTATCGTATCTAGATCCGTGCGAAATGGGGGCAGATTTGAAAAGCTGGTCTTGCGAAATGCGTGGATATTTTGTGATTTCAGACGATTATATCCGAGCACAGGATTGTCCACGTTATCGATGATTATTTGCGTTTTCCGGTTTTGTGATTCTTTATCAGACGCAAGTCTCGTCTTATGTCACAGAGTCAAGGATGTCTGTCGTGTGTGATCGTACAGAGAATGCTTGAAGACGGCGGATCACGTCTTCGTCAGGGTGACATCGGGGCACATGTATGCCATCCGCTTTACGGTGAGAAAGCTTGAAGACGACTGATCCCGTCATCGTCAGGGTCAAATCAGGACATATATATGTCATCCGCTTTACGGTGAGAAGACATATGAGAATCGAAGCATTTGATTCGGGTGCACCCTTCACCCAGTCGACCAAGAAATTCGAGCCACTCAAACTTGGTCACGACCTATAGTTTGAAGACCGATGTAGGAGTGAAGAGTGTGTATTTCCTGCGTTTTTGCTCTACGATGATTTGACTATCGTGTACCCAAGGGCGTACACATTGAGAATACAAGCTGTTTTTAAATCAAGGATGCAAACACTTGAAATAAAGAGAACGGATGGGTATTCAGAAGAGAGCGGAGGAGGGCATTCAGTATTCAGCTAAGTCTTTCAGTGGGAATAAAGACGTTAGCTTTTATGTCCCGTATTGCCATGCTAGCCTGCATCCACGGAAATACTCCAGGTCACTGGTGTGGGCAAAAGATGCGAAGTTAATGCCCTGGACTATGTGAAACCCAAAAGTAATGGAAGAGCTACCATACTTCGGGACTCTAAATAGATTACTTTGGCGATAACATGTGACCATCACGAAGGTGGAGGCGGATCAACCCCGCATGGCAATGCGTTCACGCTCTGCCCCTCCCCACAGCGCGGGGCAATGCAAGCGCTCGCGCCTCGTTGATGTAGGTCTCCGATCGCGTTCTCCGATTTAAAACGCCATGGGGTTGCCCCTGGCGTATTCCAAGTGGCCCTGACGGCTGCGCGTAAGGGCGCCTAACGACCCGGCGCTCCACGCTGCCTGCCGGTGGCGTCGTGAGCGGTGCAGTCGGCCGAGCGGCGCGTGGCGCGCTGCCGCCGGAGCTGGGCGTTTGTCCCGCTGTCTGTCCGGTCATGGGCGGCCCGCGCGCAACAGCACGCGTTCTCGTCCGGCTCCAGGCGGCGGCCGCGTCCCGCCGTCCTCGTTAGCAAGGGGCCGTCAAATTGCGGCCAGCGGCCGACCAATCGGCGTCGGCGCTGGGCGGGTGGGGCCGCGCCGGGTCGGGCCGCGAGTTTTACAGGTCTTGGGAAACAGAGCTGCGATAGAGCGATAGACATCGGCTGCGGACACCGCCGCCGAGTGGCGACACGCTTTCTCGCCGCTCACCCGATCTGATGTCACTGGTCTGGTCAGCAATAGCATGGCCCGCGGCGTTCTGACACTGGCCTGGTGGCCCGCGGCGCTCTGACACTGGTCTGGTCAGGTCGCGGGCGTGAAAAGCGCCCGTCACTCGTCACTGATCCGGCCCCCGTTGCAGCCTCCGTCACTGGGTCACTGGTCTGACCATACTAGCGCGGCTTCAGTTCCTCTGTTGCCGATCGGGTCAGGTTAGCGCACGCTTGGTCACTGTGTCATTGGTCTAATCAGGACATGCCATTGGTCTAACCAGGTCACTGCAGCTTCCGTCACCGGGCTTCTGGTCTGACAAGGTGACTGGAGGGACGCTGTCCCGTCACGTTGGAGTCAAACAGTCAACATGTTACCTTCGTCGCTCGAATAACGTGAGCCTATAGTTCCGGCTCGGTTGCGTGTGAAGACTCCATCATTCGTGCTTCATGCCTCGTGCGTGTGGAAAGGAGACAGCAGGCGTTGACCGGCGGGCTCGCGGGCGTCTGGTTCAGCGGCGGACCCCGTGTCCGTGTCGCGCTCGTGTCGCGCTCGGGTCCCGCTCGGGTCATGCTTCGGTCGCTGGCGGTTATGGAAAAGTCGGGGACGGTTGTGTCCGTGCGTGGGGTATGATCACGCACGCGGTATTTGTCTCCGGAGGTGGGCATGCTGGAAACCTGGAGAGTGAGCGGAGGGAGGGGGGGGGGGGGGGGGGGGGCGAATACCACTGTCGGTCGTACTATTACAACACACAAGCTGGGTTATACTGCTGGAGGCTGTTCTATATTCAGACGGCAGGGCCACTTGAAGGAGGGCGTGTCGATCATAACTGCGTATCGGACGGCGAAGAGACACGAGCGAGCCCTGCGGTCCTGGAAAGTGTTTTGAATTAGCGGGGTCTTAATGTCACTCCGTGTTTATTGTCGTGTACATTTCAGCGAGGTACTATGGACACCTTGTGTGAAAATATAGTCGACCATCGCCGGCGGGTAATATTCATGCGGTGCCATTTTTGTCCATATTATTTGATGATTGGATAATTTACTGTAATTAGATGGCTCACAATAACTCGCTTGGAGTGAAATCGAAATGCGTGATTGAATTAGATCTCTACACAGGGACCCTAGGCGGCAGATATGTTGCCCAGTGCCGTTCTGCTCGTTCCAGCACATTGGCAATGGCTCCCAACATAATTCACCGTATCAAAGGTGTTGGAGGCAATGTTCCGTGGTTCCGACGAATAACTTCCGCATGGCCTCCAATAGCAGGCATACGTTGTGGCCCGATGTGATGGCGGCGGTAGCGGGTGGGGGTAGGCTGTGGTCATTGTTAATCGTCGAATGTTGCATGAAATGTTCGCGTTGTAACAAAAGCAGCGGGACCGTCTTTTATTGCCTGGCTGTATTTCGGTCTCAGGTTAGTAGAGAGTAACAACGTAAGAACGACTGTTGCACAGCAAAACAGTAGCACGCAAACAACAGCACGGCATTGTTGGCTATGTTGTTGTATGTCGTAGGTTATTGATCATTGGCCAGTACCTAATACCAATGCAAATACATTGATAGTACAGGGCCGGTGGCAGTATGTACACGGACCAGTGACACGGAACGGCAGTAACGGCACAAAGCGTTGAAGCCGGCTGGCGAAACTAAAGCCTCCATCGACGCCACGTCCAACGTTCAATGACGTCTCGAGTTTCAGGCGCTCGAAGTCAGGACATTATCAGCCCAGTCAAAGCCACCCGTACGTGTCTTAACAGCTGGTACAGCGTGTCCCATTCGCACTATCGTATGCGGCTCGTGACTATGACCACACACCCTCATCCGCTCACGTGGGGCGCTCTGGCTGTCCAGGCGTATCCCACGCTGCTGGCACCAGGGCCCTCGGGTTCCACACCGGTGAGCATTGCAGCCTGCGACTGGACACACTGCCTGCCATGTCGGTCGTCGGACACGGACCCCTGCTTGACATGGATCCCCTAAGGGTTACGAACCGTCACGGGACACGGAATAGCCGCTGACCCCGTCCCTCCCCGCGTGACTGGAATCCTACGCGGGCCCGGATCCCATGGGTACGGATCCTCCGCGGGATACAGATCCGCCGCCGGCGGTCACGAGCTCCGGGCCACTAACCAGCGCAACTCGGGCACCCCCCACAGGCAATGGCTGGCATGTCAGTGTGTCCGGGCGCCGGGCGCTCACTTTTCTGGCATTTTCGTGTGTTTAATTTGATGGGTGCCGAGATCAGAGCGGGAGCCAAGCAGAGTTTGTTAGGTTACGCCCCTGCCGCCCGGGGGCCTTCCATAAAAAACATGGTGTAATACCAACGAGGTCGTTAAGTCAAACAGCGCTGGGTGTCGATCATTTCGTCAATACCGTGATGCGGCAAACCATGGCAAAGGCTTCCCGTTGGTCTGTAAACACGAGCAACATCTCAGGGATGCGACCCGAAACGCTGTGTCTCAATCCCACGTGGCCGGCAGCTGGCCGTCGAGACGAGGTCGGTCGCTGGAGCGCCGAAACGATCACGTCCGCGGCTCTGTGTCGACCTGCACTGCTCCCGGTCGCTGTCGTCAGGTGCGCGCTGTGGCGACGGTCGATTCCTGGCGTGGTCAGCGGGCGTCTTCGACCGGCGCATCGCCCCCGCCGTGCCCGGGCCGTGCTCGGGGCGTGCTGGCGTCACGCTCGCGGCGTGCTGGCGCCGTGGCAGCGGCCGAACAATGGCCGTCGGGCGCGGGCTGGCCGCGCCGCACGCCGAGCGCTGACGGCCGCCGTCTGTTGCAGCCTGGAGCTGGGCGGCAGCCTGTACTGCCCGAGCATGGCCGAGACGGAGCCGCCGCCGCCGGCCGCCGCCGCCGGCTCGCCGGCCGCCGCCCGGCCCGTCAAGGAGTGCGGCGTGTGCGGCGACAAGGCGCTCGGCTACAACTTTAACGCCATCACCTGCGAGAGCTGCAAGGCGTTCTTCCGCCGAAACGCGCTCAAGACCAAGGTGAGTGCCGTGGAGAGGCGTCGTGAGACATTGAGGGGGCGGGGATGGCGCGCTCGTGTGGGTAGTGGCGTCATATCGAGGGGATTCTACACTGAGAGGGATTGTACACTCGTCGTCAAGCCACTCCGTCGATGGCCGTGCGGCGATCATTTCCGCGGACGGCTGGCCGCCGCCTGAACCACCGTCAGACAGCGTCGGCGGCGGCGGTGCCGGTGGTTCATGCGAGTGACGCCCACCACGTGTGCACCCCCGCACACCCGCCCCCGCCTTCGTCGCCCCGCGCCCGGCCGACTTCCGGTGGGCCGTGAGCGACTGGCAACACTGGCGGCGGCGGCGGCGCCGGCCGTGCGGTGGGAGGCTGGCGGCCGGCCGGTGCTATCGCGGCTCGTCTCTCATGAGTCTGCGCCGGCCGCCGCTGATACCAGTATCGGTCCGGGCCGCCTTGGACCCTGACCGTGGCCGGACGGACGCCGCGATACGGCCGGAATGGGTCAGCGCGGCGGCGGGGCCACCCCGTCCGTCGCATGGTGGTTGTGGTGGTTTGGCGTATAGGCGCGCGTCGACGTCGGTACCGTTTGGCGTCCGCGGCCTGTGCTGTCACCCAGCCTACCCCGCCCCGACCTGGTCTTCATCCAGCCCATTGGCGAGGGCAGAGTGAACTGGACGGGGGTGGGGGAAGGGGGGAGAGGGGGAGGGGGCCGTGTGGTACCACACGGCCCCCTCCCCCTCTCCCCCCTTCCCCCACCCCCGTCCAGTTCACTCTGCCCTCGCCAATGGGCTGGATGAAGACCAGGTCGGGGCGGGGTAGGCTGGGTGACAGCACAGGCCGCGGACGCCAAACGGTACCGACGTCGACGCGCGGCCTATACGCCAAACCACCACAACCACCATGCGACGGACGGGGTGGCCCCGCCGCCGCGCTGACCCATTCCGGCCGTATCGCGGCGTCCGTCCGGCCACGGTCAGGGTCCAAGGCGGCCCGGACCGATACTGGTATCAGCGGCGGCCGGCGCAGACTCATGAGAGACGAGCCGCGATAGCACCGGCCGGCCGCCAGCCTCCCACCGCACGGCCGGCGCCGCCGCCGCCGCCAGTGTTGCCAGTCGCTCACGGCCCACCGGAAGTCGGCCGGGCGCGGGGCGACGAAGGCGGGGGCGGGTGTGCG